TATATATATATATATATATATATATTGTGTTTAAAGTCTGAGATTCTGTGTGTGAGGGGGTGACAGTGTGGCACTTTCTCAGTGTGTTTCATCTCACCAAAGCAGCTTCTGTTCATGACACATTCACCTCCACACTGTGAGGAAGGAAACACAGTGGAGAGCAGATGCCTCTGGTCAGCAAGCAGGAAATACAATTAGCCATTTTTTTATTACTGTAAGTGAAAAGGCAGAAGTGATGTTGCAAAGACTCAGTGAGACTACATGGTTGAACAAATGTGCAGCAGAGTAGACCAAATGTAAAAAAAAAAAACAACAAAAACAAGTAATGTGTTGTCTTATTTCACTGTTTTAAATTGTGTGCCTTTCTCTTTTGCTGCAGACTGGTCGGGACGTTCTGCATGGTGCTTCAGAAAGTGGCTGAAGAGGGACATCTAGAGCTGACAGATACCCTCATTGATGACAACAACATGTCAATAAAGGTAAGATCTCCCTTTTGGGTTGTTAACAGTTTTGGTTAGTGTTGAGCATTTGCTCTTCACAGCCAAAAACATTCTATTCAATTTAGCTTATTAACGATGCATTTGAATTGTTCTCTTAACCGTGTGACTGATTATATAACTTATGACTGCAATGAATCAAAAACAATACTGCACTCGTTTTTATGTGTTGCAGATTTTCTCTGATTCACATTGGGTCAATGTTGCAGACACAAACTCCAGCATGCAAACAAGGTGCTGAACAAATTGAAATCAACATCTTAAAGCTTCTTTCGGCACTTGACAGATTCCCTTCTGGTGCGACATTTTAATGTCATGAAACAAAGACTGACTAATAAAAATAAGTTTGCTTGGAGATGGTTTTCAAACTTAACACTATAACAATTGCCAAGCAGGATAATGGTAGCAGCATCATGCTGTGGGGGTGTTTGGCTACAGTTTATTTGGTGCGTGACATAGTGGGTGTGGCTTATATTCAAGTGTGCTGAATATACACTTGCATATAACATTGTGATTACTATATTAATCACAATATAATAAATGTGATTAAATATCATAGACATTAAGTCAATGAATTTGGTGACTTCTAAAGTATTTTGGTTGCTGCGGTGGAAAATGATCACAAGTTAACATCTGCTGACCATGTCATATTAAATGCTTGTGAACTCCCACCAAAAGAAGCTATTTGGGTTACATGTACAAGGCTGGGAGTTGTTTTTTACAGCTGCATCGGAACCAGACTGTCTCGCCTCTTGTTTTGGATCCGTTATCCTTGGTATAAAACTCAAGTGTTGTCTCTGCCTGGCAGAGCTTTTCACCCACAACTGCTTCATTATTGATTGTCCTACAAGCTCTCTTTATTGTGCACAATATATGAATAGACCTGATTGAGTGATTTCACCTGACAGTGCTTGGAAATAGTTTTTTTTTTTATTCCACAACAGTTGCACTGAATTTAATTTAGGTTTATCTTAATAATTCAGTCCAAGGGGCTGAATTAATATGACAAAAACATTTGAATTATTTCACAAAATGTGCAGTAGTTTGTGTTGGTCTATCACATAAAATCTGAACAAAATAGATTGAGGAATATGGTTGTAACTTCATAAAAAGTTTAAGGGCTACAAATACTTTTTCAAGACACGATGAGGTTCGAAGGGGAAATTTTCAATCGCTCCTTAAATTATTAATTTAAGGGCAACTTTAAAGTCACAACACTTTCTTATTGGGTAAATTGTTTATTCTTTTTTTTATCAACAAGTATATCTATTTAGGAATCCAAATAGGAAAACCTTGTGGGAAATATGAAAGAGAAATTAAATTTGCTTTGGACGTTGAGTTCTAGCAGAAGACGTAATAAACTTAATTAAGGGACCTCATCATTGAAGAGCTCCACATCAACAATAATCTTATATACACTACAATCTAAAAGCAATATCAGCACATTTAGATGCTCAGCAGAAGTCCTGATAATCTATTGATTTTAAATTTAGCCCTGGGCAGCTTGGTGGAGAGAAGAACTGTGTGATTGATAATAAAAATATAGTGTAGGAGTGTATTGGGTATGGGAGGAAGAGGACGGCGAGATGGAAAGCATTGAGTCAAGCAAACGCTGTATAAAATCTGACAACCACTGCAGGACCGTGTTGGTGGGCTGGAGAGTGCTGGTGTGTTTTTTTTTCTGAGATGATGTAACACTGCATGCGAGCGGCGCTCCTTGGTGTGCATGCAAGCTCATATTCACACCCATGCAGTGTGTTCGTGAGTTCTGTCAACACACACACACACACACCCACACACACACACACACACACACACACACACACACACTGGGAGGAGAATTTCACTGCTTAGCATCCCTGTAGCAAGAGAGCGGTAAAACTAAACCTGACGTTACCTGGGAGCACTACTATTGTTGTTGCCATAGCAACAAATCTAACTCCTGGTGGACCACGCAGATTGCCTGGTGAAGATGTTGTAGGAAACAGACCGTGAAGCAGAGAAGGGTAGAGGAAAGGGAGGGAGTTTCTCGTATATTTCCCCCTCATCTGTCTTTGTCAGTGGCATAAATTGGACGCTCTGTAATAAAGTTTAGGTCATTGTCAGGAGGATAGTATTTGTCCAAACATGTCTCCCAAGAAGATGCTAAAGACAAACTGCCGGCCCAGCCATGTTTCTGGCCTGCATGAAAATGTCAGTCAGAATTTTTGCAGCACACAAGGAGCCAGAGTGATTTATTGTCGTGCCAAGTTGGTTGCCAGTGTTGAGGCCACGTTGATGCACCCGCAAATACCAAAATCCTTCTTGTGAATACAATCTTATTACCAAGTTTTAATATTTTTCACAGAATGAATCTTAAATGAAAAGGTCAAGAACTTGCTGTCACGCTAGCATCTCTGTTGAATTAGTTCAGTCACTTTAAAGGGAGTGAATATTTATGCAATCACTTATTTTACAATAAATATTTTTTTAATTGTCATAAATTTGTAGAAACCAGTTTTCACTTTGATATTAAAGGGATTTTTTGCCACAAAAGCCCAATTTTGTTGACCACGACTGATTTGTAAAAACAGAAAAAGAGTGTAACATCCACGAGTGTCAATACTTTTTATAGACACATTTATGTGAATATGCTGTAGCTATTCACAGCTATTAGTTAGTTCTTATCTTAAACTGATAAGAACTAACTAATTTGTAAAATATAAAATCTATAAAATATGTAAAATGCCTGTAATGAAAAGTTTCCTCACTGGGAGCAGTTAGAGTATATACAGTTAGTATATACTTATTATATAAAATTTTAAAAATCGATTAGTTTTCATTAATGACATGTGTATAACATCTGAGGAAAAAAAAAAAATTTTCATTGTTTTAGGGAAAGGCAGAACTTTTATTCCAGGCCGATGCAAAATGTCCCAAACTGAGATACCCGATGAACCTCCATCTACTGAAAATGGCTCTAAAGAAACCTAAGAAACGAAAACCAGCCCAGCTGCTACAATTGAACTCAAAATTAAGAAGAATTATCCTCACAACAAAATAACAGGCGATCCTGGGCCACTCCAAACAAAATAAGGAAGAAGAAACAGATCAACCAAGCAGGGAAACATTGGTTTTCCTGTATCCAAACTAATCCTAAAACCAACAAATAGTATGTGACAGACTGGAAGTTGTTGTTTTATGCAGGAGGCACAGCGTTAGTCGATCAATCTTCTTTCTTTGAGTCTGCTTAGCAAATCAACTCTAAAAGCACATCACCTTAGAGCTCACTTATAAAAGTGAGAGCACGTCTAGCACATGCCAATTTTAAAGTGAAGCACTCTGTCATAATTTGGCCCCAATGTTTTAATGTCTTCTTTCCTTTTCAGACCAGTGTCACCATAGATATTAGATACCAGCCGATGGATGGCACAGGGGGGATGTGGAGCGATGGAGAGTTCCTGGATGTCCCTGATGATCGTGATGGCATGTTTGCTTTTGAAACAGACAGCTTGCTTTCAGGACAGAGCCACGGGTCAGGGACTTCTCCTGGACGGTCATTACAAGGGTCCATACCAACCTTCAGAAAGTAAGTTAAACAGTTTCCTTAATAACAGTCGCATTACTTCAAAAATGAGGGTTTAAAGTTGATCATAGCTGTTCTGCCTAAACAACAATTATATTTGTTATTGTAATAACCTTAGCTACATTGAGGATTTTGATTAATATGTTCAAATGTTGATGCAGAAATCAGCCAGGAAGTTAATGTTTGGATGTCTTCTAAATTCACAATAATCCTAAAAATATCATGAAAGTATAACAAAGTGGATTAAGGACAAAAAACTGAAGGGTCATCAAAAAGTCCTGGTCTCAGTCCAACTCGAAATTTATGAAGATCACTGAACAGTTGTGAGCGAAAAGGTAAGAATGAGCGAATTGTTGTGTCTGAAGGTATTGACCAAAATTTTATCAAACTATTATAAGACGATGGTTGAAGGATACATAGAATTTGTGACCCAAGTCACACATTTCATTGTTCTGGGATTTAGCAAATAGAAAATACGCTGGTAGTCAGACCTAAAACAGGGAAACCTTTTTATGTGATGTAATGTCAGACACTGAGAAAATGTTTTTATTTCTTCATATGCAGCTTAAGTAAATGTATGGTTCTAGAATTCAAGGAGTGGCAGAACGACTTCAAAATGAGATAAAATAGATAATAAGTAATAATTACAATGTACAAAAAACTAACATACAATGCTTCCATCTTTTTTTCCATCTAAATATTGATAATGGGTGTGTAAATATATGTTTAAATTGGCACTTCTTCTAAGGACTCGTAAAACAGCATGAATCTCCCTAAATGGCAGAGGTTATCTGAGTATTCATGTTCTCAGTGCAAAAAAAGTAAAAAAAACTGATTAAATACATGACATAAAACAGAGAAAAACAAACAAAAAGAAATATGGTGTTTTTAAGAAGAAAGTTTCTTAATGTCTTTTCTTAGCATTTTAATGATGCAAAAAACAAGAAGAGGCATGATAAAAATGTGAAAGCATTTCGTAACTGTTTTGTTTTGAAGTGAGAATGTTTTTTTATTCTACTATTTAGAGCAAGAGACAAGTAAGACAAGCGTGTGCAAGGCTGTAAAACTATTGTTTAAAAGCTGCAAAAATCTGTTCAGATTATGCCTTTCTTTTTTCTCTACATCTCTCCCTCTCTCTTTTCATTTTGCCCACAGTCAGTGTATTCATGGACCGTTAATTCTCATGCTTTTGCTGAATAGTACATGAAAGCATCTGTAGGCGGTATTGATTTTCACTGAGACTATCTGCTCAGCCAGACACATAAACACATCCCTATGCTACAGATTGAATAGATGCCCGGAAAAATTTATTTGAGTCTTGTCTAAATAACATCATGCACATATATTTCTTCTTGTTCACGAACATGGCACATCTAATCTGCACTATTTTACAGCATAGAATGAAAGAAATGCATTTGCAGTAGGAGTGAAGGTAAAGGCTATCCCAAGGCTCTTATATGACCAAAAGTAAGTATGACTTTAGAGTTATTCAAGGAGAGTAGCAAGAAAGCTGCTGAATGAAGCTTAAATTTATATTAAACACATGTGATCCTGCTAAAGATGCATTAAGTACAAGCTCTGTATCTTTGTTGCTTGTTGCAAAGAGCTGTCAGTCAGGTCAGATGGTGTTGCAGAGAATTTGTCCTGAGAAACAAAATTGAATGTGCAATAAAACAGTAAGAATGAAGAAAAACCTGCAGTCGACAAACCCAGCGCTAATCTCTTATTTTAATTGCCTTGCTACGTTTCTTTCAAACATTTTCCTTCCCTAATTATCAGCAGCACAGTTTTCCTATCTTCTGAATGAAACTTTCTAAAACTATTTCACCGTCTCATCGATTCTGATGCTCCATACAGCCAGTTTTTATTCCCCTTCCTCTGGTAATGAGGTGTGAGTGTGGAGGAGACGATGATTTGGGAAGACTCTGCTGCTCCTAAAGGGAGAAGAGGAAAGAGCAGGGCTTAAAAAAGAGAACTTGGAGTGGTTTTGACCTACAAGAAAAAACAAATCCAGCACTATTTGTCGACTGCAGTTAATTTACTCAACTGCTGTTCTTTCTATAAAATGGAGCTACAGCGAAAGTTCAACCTGGAAGACTCTGGCCCCCTCCTTTCGCTCATCGGCGTCATGCTCATCTCCATCTTCAGCGCTGGACCTCACCCGGCCCATCCAATCATCAATCAAGCTCTGCATAAAAGGATCCACACCCAAGCCGTCAGCCGGTTCCCAGCTGCGTTCAACCCACCACACCGCCCCTTGTCCACCCACATCCTTCAGCTCTCCAGGATAGCACCCTTTCCTGACCTCCACCACCAGTGTTGGGCCCCGGGGGGAGAGCATACCTAATCAGTTATTGGGATGTTCATCGAGTTCACATCATATCTCAGCTCAAATCAGCTGCCGGGGCCCGAGCGCCAAAAAACTGTCATTCATTCCTGTCATTAAATCTTTTAATTGTTCCTTTTTCTCCATCTGAGTCTTTCCAGGTTGAACTGTTTATTTGATAATTCTTTGGAAATGCAGTATAGCATGACATGTCCCCCAGCTTGAGGGGTGACATGTTATGAAAAACATATGTTTGTTGTTCTCCTTCTGTGCTTTTTGGCCCAAAGTTCTCAGAAACTCAAAAAAAAAAAAAAAAAAAATTTCTAAACTTCTCTTCCCCTTTAGGTTTAAAAAAAGAAAATATATTTTTTGTGCCATTCAGAAATTTAAGAGGTAAAGTTTTTCCATTTTCCAGTTCAGAGTAGAGGAAATGTTACAGACTCATCTTTATTGCCCTATAAATCATGCAGCACTCATCATAAATCAGATTCTTCATTGTGTTTTTTAATAAGCACAAATTGTTTTAAATAGCGATATAGCATACATAATTCCATGCAGATTCAAAACTAGACCCTCGTGTTATTTATTTATCTGTTTGGGATCATTGTGCTCTATAGAGAACAGTTTTAAATTTAGACTGGACAGATTTTAAGCCAGTTACTTTTAAAGAAATAGCCCCCGTAAGCAAAAACCAAAACCTTTTTTGGACTTTGAGTGTGAAACTTTGCAACAACATTTACATTTTATATTTGGTTCATTTTAGAGCATCCCTTTAGAAGGAGTTAATCACTAATTAATGTAGGAACAAAAATAAAACTTCACCCACATAAAACTATATCAGTTCTATCAGCTGCAGCCCAAAGGTCATCCACATTTCTTGGAGAAGTGTTTGCTCATTATTATTATTTATTTTTATCAAGTCTGATTCACACTCCTGTGTTGCATTGGAGACAAATGGCTTCATAAGCAGAACTTAATTTTCTCCATCGCTATTAATAATGCTGACCACTGCACTCCTTCCACCAGCCCTCTTCCATCTCCACCTCCAGCATTGTGCCTGTCCCTGCAGGATGATTTATGGTAACACCCATAAATCATCTTGTGCTGTAGGCAACACCACAATGAGCCAGCTTAGCAGGAGTTTGCTTATTACCAGCTAATAAATCCCCTGATGTGTCATTTTACTACTGGGAAAGCAGGAGTGGTGAATAGTGCCTGGAGAGAAGCACATATGTTAGACATAAAGGGGATGGATTCAAAGGTTAAGCTGTTATTTGACCTCCAGACATGAAATTCTTTAAATATTAAGGCTTTAACTTGTGGTGCACATTGGCGTAACTCAGTCAAAATAACACTTCACGAAGCTATAATGCATAAATAATCATCTTCTATCTGTGCGAAATGAAATCAGCTTTCAGTTTGTGCGATGCTGTTTTGCGACAATAATATTCCGCAACACGTATTGATTCTGTTTTTTTTTTCACTCTGACTGTCTCAAACTGCTCTCTTATGCGTAAGTCCTCAGTGACAGCCCTGGTTTTACATGATGCATCACGTGGCGGTGCTTTGGTCCAGGTGTTCTGCACTCTTTTATCTCAGCTGCCTTTTGTGCAGCGGGTCTGCTTCACCGCTCCACCGGCTCCCAGAGGAACAATCTCCACGGTAAATACGGCACATCAGCCGAAGCAGAAATATGGCTCACGTACTAAACATGGAAATGTATCTTAATTATAGATTTGGTGCCCTTTAATTATTTGTCTTGGTCGTTGAGCTTGCAGCTTAGTGAGGAAGCTACATTTGTGTTGAATAATTAGACACTTCCTGAAGTTTGGCGAAGCATTTGGGTGCGAGTTACGTCGTAGTCGATGTTAGATTTGCCAGAAGTGATATTTACTTTATATAATTGAGAACTGCTGGGCCTTAACTATTATTACATAACTCCTTAAATTGCTGTTTTTAACTGTGGAGATTAAAATAGAAATAATAACATAAGATACTTTAGTATGTAGATATGCATACTCATGAGATTTCCCAGCATATGGAGCAGCTCCAGATATGCATATATTTGGAAGGATAACTGGGTTTGTACTACCTCCATATCAACGGATATAAAAAGGATATTCTCTAAATATCCTTTTACAGAATTTGTTTATGCTTTGAAAACAGGCTTTGAAACTGGGAATACTACAGATCATCAAGCTAACTTTAATACCAGGCAAAGAAAGCCTGAACAAAACCAAAATTCAGTGACTATTTGTTAGAGGACAAAAGATTTTCACAAATCAAGCTGTGAAAAGTAGTTGCCTCTTACACCTGATAACTGAAATCCTAATAACTTTCCACCTTTGGTAGAAATCACTCACCATGAGACACACTTGGCATATTTGGCTGTGAGTCTTTACCTCAATGTGAGGAAAGTTTGATGTGCTCTTCCTTGCAGAGTTGCTTTATTTCAGCCGCATTTTAGGATTTTTTAACATGAACAACCTGTTTTAGGTCACGCTACCGCATGTCAATCAGATTGAAGCTCAGGATTAAACTAGTCCATTAATTTAGACCACACTAATTGAGTTATTTTAATATATTCTTTTGAGCCATGGGATTTTGTTCTAGAAAGTAGAATTTATGTTTCCATAAATTTCAGAATGCCATTCATGTCCTGGAGCGCCATTGCAGCCCTAGTTTGTCATGTCCGC